AAGAGGGGTGTGGAAACAGAGACCCCACAAGTTAGGTAAGTATGTCCTCACAAGTCTTATATTAAAAGTAGTACCCACAAGTAGGCAAAGTTGAGTAATGGACAGGTCCCCATAAGGAAGTCCCCACAAGAAAAATTGAAATTTCCTCAATTCTAATCAAGTGTATAAAGAGTAAGGCAAACAAGCTATCAAACATCGTAGTTTTTATTTTGATACTGCCAGCAGAAGGGGGGGTCCCCGCAAGCGGTGTGTGTAAACACAGTCCTCACAAGTTGCCAAAGGTGCGTATGTGTGTGTGTGTGTGTGTGTGTGTGTGTGTGTGTGTATGTGTGTATTGCATTATTAATATTCACCTTCCATCCTTCCTTTCTGAAGTTTCTTGAGTAGTTCCTCTAGTTCTTCTTTTAAACGCCGTACTTGGTTGATAGCATCATATGAGGAGGGAGTATCTTAAATAAAGAGTAAATACGCATTATTCAATGCTTCAACATGTAATGAGCAGCGCAGATGTTTTGCAAGTTGCATGCAGGGCTTACATATTTAAGAGAAAATAATATAATTAGGAGTCTTATAAAAAAACTAAAAGAAAGTGTTTCACCTTTCAGCTTGTTCCTTAAAAATCAAGCCTAAAATACTAGTACAACTATTTCCTTGCATCACTTTCCATATTTCTTTTGCCCTGTTCAACGGAGCCAATACGCATGTTTCACTCACCTTCCAATCCTTGTCTCTCAAGTTCTGTACGTATTTGTTTCAGTTCTTCTTCAAGATCAGAAATAAATAGTTCAGGGGGAGGCAAAGTACCTGAAAGGAAAGGTAAAAAGAGAGATACACTGTATTTGGCGATCAGTGCCTTACCTCGCATAAATGGTTAAAAACAGGCATTTAACCAGCACTGTACATTGTGTTGGGGTCATGTGATAGCACAATTATAGTGTCAGTTTTTTGATTAATCTCTTATGGTTATTGTTGAAATCAATCATTTAGAAAAATTGTTACATAATAATAAGCCACAGCCAACTTAATACTCCCTTTCACCACAGCAAAGAATAAGGAAAAAATTAAGAAAAATTTCATATGAAAGCTGACACTTTTACATAATACCTGAAAGTATAGGACAGCAACCTCACTTAATAACTATAAAGGAAGAGGATTCATCCTTTCTAACGAACAGCTTCCCTTTAAAATGTATAATTTGAATAAGGAATGAAAGCATTCATCAATAGTAATAAAATCAGATAACAGGTTCTTTTAAATAAGGAATAATTTTCCTTGAAAAGTGATAATTCGATACAAGGGTTAAAGCCTTTAATAGCATTCTTGGATTTATTTCTCTCTGATAATGAATCAATAAACACTTTAAATTCACCTTCCATTCTGAGCCTCTTAAGCTCTTTGCGTAGTTCTGCTAACTTTTTCTCAAGATCAATGGATGAAAATTTAAGGACAGGAAAACTACCTGAGAACAAAGAAATACATTTAACACTCAGTTTCTTACCTGATATAAAAATGTTAAAGTATTATAACATGTATTGAGGTCAAGTGAAAGAACAATGATGCAAGTTTTCCATTATATCATTGTGAAATAACCTATCTATAACTATTATTTCATTACCACATGCCACAGCCAATTAAGTACTACCTTTGACTAAAGTTGTACATCAAGAGGCAAAACTGAATTCAAAATATGTTCCTTAACAAAACTAAGTTACTAAATAATAGCTGAGAGCATTTCACAGCATTCTTGGGTAAAAGTAAGGACAGAAAAAGGTGAATATCTTATGTAGGGAATAGTCTCTCTTAAAAGTGCTTAGTAGAAAAAATGTGAAACATTAATTTTAGTGGCACTGAGCTATTTACAAGGCTAAAATATTTACAAAAGTAAAAACCCAAACATTTTTGACACTCGGTCATCATCACCCTGACAATGACCTCATGTCAAAAATGTTTGGTTTTTACTTTTCAATATTCTAGCTCATTTTTAAACCTAAACTTTTAACGACAGCTATTAGCATTCTAGGATCAGCATCTCCCTAAAAATGATAAGCTATGAATTTTTCCATTCACCTTCCATTCTCAGCATCTTAATTTCCTTACATACTTTTCCTAGCTTTTCTTCAAGATCAGTGGTGGGGAGAAGAGGGGGAGGTGAAGAACCTGGGAGCAAAGGTATACAGAACTTTTCAAAATTCAGTCTCTTACTTTACACAGAAATGATAACAACGGTTATACCTGTGTGAACAGCAAATTATTAACACTCATGTTAAAGTAAAATAGTGTTAGTTCTCCATTATGACACTATGATCATTGCTGAAAGCAACCATTATGTATTTTTACCACATGCTGACTCAACACCATCTTTAACTAAAGTAGAGAATGAGACAATGCCAAATTTAGATTAATCTGTGGTTGACTCTTGCCCTACAAACACCTCACTGTTACAGACATCTCGCCGTTGCGGACAAGAGTAAGTTCCTGGGAAAATGCACAAAGAAATGACTGAAATAAACTCCCTTTGTAACAGACTCTTGCTATTGTTATGAAGTTTCACTTAGTGTATTTTCTGTCACACTAGAAACAATATCTGTAATTTTGCACATGTAGCAAAATTTGAAAGTTTATAGAACCAGAATAAGCTTATCACGAGAGACCAGTTAGTTTTCAACACGCACTAAGAAAAAAAAATCGCTCGGCTTATAGGTGAAGAAATACGGTAATCGTTGTTTCAGTAGCAGCGCATATTGAAATTTATAGTGTTCTGGCGGGAGAGCAAAGCGTGATGCTCTGGGAATAAAAACTCTTAGGGGCCTTTTACATAATATCGGAAGGAGTTTTGTTCAAGAACAAGTTCATCCCGGTCGCCACATGATAGCAGAATAAAACTGTTCGCAACGAGTCATCAGGCGATCGGATATGAGTGAGGATGCTTGTCGTACCTTTCAGGGGTCAAAATCAGTGATCTGGTACCTTTTACGATGTCTCAAACTTTCGGTGGACTACCAGAGACCTTGCTGGTACCATTTAGGATGTTTTTCGCTCAATAAAATACCTGAAATAAGCATTACTAGGACGATTTTAATGATCTGACTTGAGCCACTGGAGCATATCGATAAAGGAGTTTTTATTTTTAGGATTTTTCCATTTTTTTTTTGGTTTAAATTGGTACTTTTTAGAGGTAGACATCAGTTGTTGCCACTCCCACACGGATAAGACTCAGGTTTTATAGGGATCATTTTCGAAATTCCCGGCGCGCATCCTCGCCCTCTTGTGTATAGGGGTTCCTCGGGGGGTGCTGATACGTGCAGCACACTTGAAATTTAGCAAGGACAAATTTTGATGTGATTTTCGGTGAAGAGAAAAAAGTTCTGTCAGCAAATCTCATTGTTAGCATGTAAGATGAAACGCTTTTACAACAGATTAATTAGCTAAATCAGTATGTAGCTTGTCAATCGAATTGACTTTTGTGAACATTCTTTGACTTCCGCCGGCAAAGGAATCATTGATGGATCTGGACATTTTAGTTTTCTGAATACAGTAATTCTTGGAAGGTTTTTAAAGATATGCAAAGAGGGAAAAAAACCCATCTCTTGGTAATTCGGAGGTTGATTCATCTTTGAATTTATGTGTCACGCATATAATAATATGGAGAAGTTTTATAAACTGCAAATTAAATCTGGCTAAAATATGGTAGAGCATAACTTGATCATCAAACCAGCTCATAAAATCGTAAATAAATGAGGTAAGAGTATTATGCTAGATTTTTTTACAAATTGTAGTGATTTATGCTAGTAAACGGTGGCGACAAATAGGCACAAGATGTATATTTCATAGTCGCTAGCAAGTAAAATTTTCCGGACTTTGAGTTCGTCTCACGATAGAACGACACAAGTACACAAGGAAATTTTTAAAGTAACTTTATGACCATCCTTTTGTCTTTTAAAAGCTAGAAGCCCAGTAGATTCTGTCATTTCGGTCATTGTTAAAACTGTCTTTGTTTTGATGCTACTTTTCGACATAGAAAAAGTATGTCGGACAAAAATATTCACCAAAAAATAAATATTTCTTTGCCAGCTTCAATAATGACAGGGGATTAAGTTTAGATGATAAAACAAAGGATTATGTTGACAGAAATACCGGAGGTCACACAACTCACACATGAGGTCACACAACTCGGGTAATATTCACGATGAAAATTTGCATATTTGAGCGGTCGAACGACAAAAATTATTTCTCGAAAACTAAAATATATTTTCACCAAAAAACTACACCACAATTATTTGGACATGTTGGGCTACAAAATATGAAAGTAGGGGAGAAAACGAATTTTGGGCGACTTGCCACAATATTTAAATTTGTTCGATGGATGCCGACATCCTCTCTTAAAAGCATTCTACTACAATTATTTTCTGTCTAGATGTGCATTTACCTTCCATCCTCCCTTTCTGAAGTTTCTCAAGTAATTCCTCTAGTTCTACTTCAACAGTGGAAACAGGGGGAGGTGAACTACCTGAGAGAAGAAGTAAACAGCAGTATATGGTTTAACTACTTTACTACAATTATTTTCCCCAGCATGACATTTCACTTGTTTTTTCTCTTGCTATAGCAGACACTGAAACACTTCCTCCAAAATCCTGACTCACGTAATATAGAACAACATTATGATAAAGGAAAATGAAGAAACCATTCTTCAATTAGGTGCGAACATGAGAATTTCCTGCTTGCAGCCAGATCTTTTTGCAGTTCATGAGGCCATGTTAGAAACTTTATGTTTGTGTGGTTACATATTATTTCATACGTTCAGGTAGAAAACGTTTTTTTATTTCTCTCATACCCCATTATTACAGACTCTCACTATTATGGACACTAAGTGTCCAAAGTAACAGCAGTTGACTGTACTTGGAAAAGTAAAAACTGACATAACTGCTAAAAGAATTTAAGGGCATTCTATTCATTACCTAAAAATTTTAATTTTGACTAATCATTAGCTTCAGGATATCTTTTCACTCACCTTTCTTTTCCTGAAATTTCCCAGTGTTGTGTCTTACTTCCCATTTTTTTTTGTGACCAGCAGTGGACGGTACAGTGGAGGGTGAAGTACCTAAGGGGAAAAGTACAAATATATGAGTTGATTTCTGATTTTCCATCATTTAACCATTCAATTAGCACTTCATTTAGTTTGTTCCATTTAGTTTTGTACAAAAGATTTAATTACTCAACAATTCACCTTCACGACTTTCTGCTTGAAGGACACTTAACAGACTTTTGTGCAAAAAGCTGTTAGGCAAACAGTCGAAGCGATTTCCTTCCGGTAAATTGATTTCTACTTGACACTCAGGGCATCGGAATTTCCCTTGTCTCTGGTTCACTATTGCATGTCTCTCTAAACACTCACAGCAAAATGTATGATGACATGATAGAATTTTAGGTTCAGTGTAGGTATCGAGACAAATTGAGCAAGTAACTTGTTTCTTGAGATTCATATGTAGCTCTTCTAGTTTTTCTTCAGGATCAGAAGTGGTAGATCCATGAGGAGACAACATGCCTAAAAGCAAAGGTATACAGAGAGATACTAGCATTTCTACCAATAAATAGTTAGAGACAGGCATACCAACTTGAAGCTAAGGATAGATTTGAAAAAGCTGTTGAAAACATCAACTTGATATACACATATATATCCCATGTATATCTTTTTCATTCCACAAACCAACTCAAATTCCCTTCAGGTTAACATAAAATAGAGAAAGAGGCACAACTGTATTTGTAATAATTTACATTACTTTTCATTATTTACAGCAATATTAGCAATATTAGTATTCATGTGACAATCTCTATAAGGTGTGCATGAAATTTATCTAAAATACATCATCAATGTCGGTTCCTTAATACATAATTTATGACTAAGGTTGAAAAAACCTTTATTATACTATTATAATACTATTATTATTATGATTATGATTTTATTATAATTAATACTGTTTCACCATCCCTAGCCACTACCATCTTAACATTCCCTTCGCGAAAACTTCATTGGGTTTTAATTTCTTTGGAATTAATTTTTGATGAGAACTGAAAGTATTTCAAATAATTGTCATTTCAGTTTTATCCTACAGACCCTGGCAACCTTAAATGTTTAATCCCAAAAACACACTTCTTTACACTTGACATGATAGCTAAACACACTGAACAAATTCACTTTAGAAATTAATTCAAACTGAGCTTCCTGTTTACCTTTCCTTTGTTGCTCTTTCTCTATAAATTCTTTTCCATGACCAGTAATGGGTACTACAGTGAGGGGTGAAGTACCTATGAGCAAAAGTACAGGGAGGGATTAGCATTCACAGCCTCTCATCAGATACCCTGTATGTTGTTTCCCCTAAATTGTACACTTTAAAATAATAAATGCCAAAATTGCATTGAGATAATTCTTCAAAGTTTTTTCAAATAATAAATTGTTATTACTGTTCACAACAACTCTCCACAATAACTTAATAGATCTCTTAATTTTGTTTTTACCTTTTTGTTTCTCTGTCTCAACAATCTTTGTCTTCTGTTTCCATTTTTTCAGCTCTTCTTGATTTTGTGGACTTTCACCGGTTAAACTTATGGAGTGGAATTCAGAAGATGAGGCACCTAAAATCAGATTTAAAAGAAAACAAATAATGAGGTAACCACTAAATACTGACATTCAAAACCATACAACACACCTCAAATCATTTTTATAAAAACCCCACACACAAATACAGGTAACATTTTCTTTTATAGCTTCTCCAACTAAAATCTTGCCAATTTTTTATTTTAGCTTGTTTTATTTTGTTTATATTTGGAGCCAAAGATAAATACAAGCAGACAGAAAGGAAAATATGCTAGGAAATTTCTTGAAAACAAATCACTTCTAGCTACAGATTGTCATTGTATACATAGTAAGTATGAGCTTAGTCATGAAGCAATTGGTTGAATATCTTGGTCAAAACCTGGACCCCCTCTACACCTCTGTTAACCCTATGGTGCACCATGTTGAATGAGTGATGCATTGTGTTTTTAATCATTTCAAAACATTTTTCTGAAAGACCAGGCCTTTTTCTTTCTTTCAACTGACCTCTGAGTGCATCCTTCTCAAGAAAGTACAGTTTGTATGCATTGTACTCTTCTATGTCCATTGTTGTTTTCAGCTTCAGTTCTGCCAGGTTCAGTTCCTTCATGATCTTTTCAGTTACAAAACAATCTCGTACCATCTTATCCAAAAGGCCACAAGAGTAATCTTCCCATAATTCCTCCAAGCTCGAGAGAGAATCGCACTTTACTGTTATCACCAAACTTCCCACAGAAACACCTATGATGAAGACCTTCATTTCTTGTAAGTATTCCTTAAACTCATTGCGTTCATCCCTGCACTGTGCTGGTGTAGTATCAAGGTAATTCATGGCAATTAAGCACAAGACTTTCTTTTTGATTGGTTGGGGATCTTCTAAATCTGCATCAGAATGTCCTTTTCTCTTTCTGCCTGAAGCTGTGGATGCCTTCTGATATCCTGCTGGCTCCAAAGCTAAAACTGAAGCTGTATTGTAATCATCTTGATCTGCACATTTCACATGTTCCACATCAACTTTGATGTTCAATTTCTGATCTGTTAATTTGGAGCAAAGCGTCCAAGTTAAAATTGTGCTTCAGCTGCACTTGAAACCATTAATATCACATTAAACTTCAAACATATTGGATATTAGTCTGCTTGCAGGTCCTCAGTATTAGAGGGCTTCTACACCAGTGTTCCTTCTCCTAAAACCTGAAATTGCACACCAATCCTCCAATTAAACAGTACCCAGTACACAAAATTTTTGTAACATGACAAATTTCATGCGCGTATTTGCAAGATGTAAGAAAGTGGGAAAAAGTTAATGGTGACTGAAAGGGAACTATTACTGCTAGTTTATCCATATCAAACATTTACAGAAATAAATCATGCAATCTAGCATGCATGCAATGATAGCATGTTATCTACATGTACCTGCCTTCAGTCTTTTACAAAAGGTTTCTGTATTTCCACATACAGTGTCAAAGTAAAAAATGGAGAGATTAACATCACAGCTTCTCTACAAATGTTTAGTACCCATAAGTGGAACTGTGTACAATTATATTAAATTATTGATGCCACATTATTGCACTGAAATTATCCTTCAAAGATTTATCACATAATTGTTATTACTGTTCACAAAAACTTTCCATAATAAATTAATACAAGTTTGTAATTTCTTTTTCACCTTCCAATTTTGCCGTCTCCATAATCTTTGTCTTCTGTTCACTTTTTTCCCATTGTTCTTTTGTTAGTGGACTTTCACTGGTTGAACTTGTGGAGTGGAATTCAGAGGATAAAGCATCTAAAATCAGATTTACAAGAAGACACACATTTTAAAAGATAAAGACACCTCAAACTATTTTTAAAAACACCCAACATGCAAAAACTAGAAAAATTTTCTTTCATGATCCCTCCAACAAAAGTCTTGCCAATTAACCTTTGATTAATGAATGCAATCAAATAAATTAAGGAAAGATAAATACAACCCTATAGAGAGGAAATATTGAGCCAGATGTCTTAGTAGGAAAGATAACAGGTTACTGGGAAGAGATGTTTGAGAAGAACAAAACATCAAATGAAACATCTTGCAAACAAATTACTTCTTGCATTGGCATGGTTTACATACAGTAGTCAGCATGAATTTATTGAAGAGACAAGTTCCCTAACTCTTGATATAAAAACTGGACCCATCCCTTCATGACATGTACCTTATCATACGTCATGTGGAAAGACTGATGGATTTCATTCAAAGCCCTTGACAAATAATTCATAGTAGGACCAGGCCTTGATACATTCTTTCTACAAACCTCTAAGTGCATCTTTCTCAAAGAACATTTTGCATGCATTGTACTCTTCTATGTCCATTGTTGTCTTCAGCCTCAGCTCAGCCAGGTTCAGTTCCTTCAAGATCTTCTCAGTTACAAAACAATTCTGAACCACTTCACCAAGATGACCAGATGAGTAATCTGTCCACAACTCCTCCAAGATCATTAGAGATTCACACTTCACTGTTATCACTAAACTTCCTACAGAGGTATCAGAAATGATGAGCTTCATTTCTTTCATGTATTCCTTGAACCTGTTGTGCTCTTCAGGGGACTGTGGTGGTGTGGTCTGGAGATAATTTTGCATAATTAATAGCAAGATTTCCTTTTCAAAGGCCTTGAGATGATCTTTCTTTGAATAGGACACACTTCCAGATGCAGTTAATGTAGCAGATGCCATTGGCTGCTGAACTTCTTGGCATCTGACAGACTCTGTTGCCAACATGCCAGTCTGTATATTCTGTTCTTCAGGTTTCAATTCATCCACATCAACTTTAATATTCATTTCACCACCTGTTAAATTGTAACAGTCAAATTTAATCCTAATATATCAAGGTTTTTTCACCTCTTACCTAATTAATCATTAAAATTTGAGAACATTACAATGAGGCAACACCAATCAAACATAGAGCTTGTTACCAATGAATAAATACCAACAATAATTTAATGAAATAAAAATGATTACCACATACAGTATATAAATTGTTTCAGTTTCAGTTTCTTTAATTTGCTTCTTTACCTCATTCCATGGTAGAATCAAAATTCTGATTGATCTAAAAGATTACAGTTTCAAACATGGAAATATCTAAACAGACTTAGCTAAGGTGAAACATGGGCATGCCTAGCATGCCCGAGTTATTTTTTTGGCTGAGTGGGTCAAGATGGGACACTAAATGTGTACTTAATGTTTTCATTTATGTAAGTCAGAAAAAGAGCATAACTTTTCAAGGAACAAAAATATTGCATTCCTTCACCTTAAAAGAAAGAAAATAAAACCTAGTTTAACTAAAGTCACACCATGTCATGTATTTTATGATCCATTTTCTCTATTGTTCAAATACTTCTAGGCAAAAATAAAATGAATTAGTGCCACACTTACTGTATTCTCCTTTGCAGTTGTTGTTTGGTCTCACCACACAACGCCCTCTATTTCCTGAGAGAGAGTGCGTTGCGTGACAAGACTAAATAACAGATACAAAAGAAACCAAGCCTACTGCTGTTCCTCTAATAGAGAGAAAATCAAAATGAATCGCAGTCAAGTCGCCGACGGTTCAACTCGCCAACTCCAACTCGCTGACGTATAAAATCGAGTAGAGACGTCGGCGAGTTAGTCTTCAATCCAGTACAACTTATTAGAAGTTAAACATACAGAAAAGTAAAAGATGTTTAGTGAAAAAACAGTTTTGTTTCCTTCCAACAAAGTTTTTAAGGATCTCATAGCGAATAAAGCAATGTAAACATCGCCAATGAATGTAAAAGCTTCAGACGCGAACGAAATAATTATTGTGTGACAACAACACTGTAGAAATTCATCATGTCAATCGGTCAGATTTTTTAAAAAAAACTTGGCTTTATAGACAAGATCTCTAGAAAAACCAATTATTTTTATTTTCAACAAAGTTTACAAGGATCCTAAGGCGAATAAAGCAAGGTGAACATCGCCAAGGACCAAAAAAGGTTTAGACACAAACGAGTTGTTGTGAGAAATATGAGAATGGTGAAAAGAGAGCGGCCCAATTATTGAAATCGATGTCGAGATTACACGGACCTTCAAGAGCAGAATAATTGCATGATATTGTTATGGTTTTCCAGTGTGTTGTATGTTGCGTGTTACCATATATGGTTTGCTCATGCGCACGCATGAGGCTTCATTAAACAGTCTTTTACTTGCCGAACCGCCATGTTGTTTGGGGTGTGTAGTTCTTAAGTAATACATGACAATTTTGGCGACGAGGATGGGATATTAAAGGACCTTTTGGGCTGCTAAAACTGAAGACATCCCTAAACTAAATCCACATAACGTCCACGATGGCCAGCGATGCAAATACGGCACCAAATCCAGTTCGTAACATCGGAAAAGTTCAAAAGTTCACTGTGGGAACTGACTTCGAGGCGTATACAGAACAGTTAGGATTCTTCTTCGTGGCAAATGGAGTGACCGACGCGAAACAGAAGAAAGCCATCTTGTTAACCAATCTTCCCACTGAAACGTACCAACTGGCGAAAGATTTGATGGCTCCGACCTTGTTAGGAGAAGATTCTCTCACGTACAACGCAATCGTAGAGCGTCTCCGCGAACAATTGAAGCCACAGAAGTCTGCTTTAGTAGCCAGGTATGAGTTTGACAACCGAGCACGTAACGCAGGAGAAACGGTGAGTCAATATGTTGCTGTTTTGAAACATCTAGCTATGGATTGCAAATTTAACGACGCCATGCGTTTGGAAAGGCTTAGAGATAGACTGGTTTCGGGTATTCGAGATAAGAGAATGATGTCAGAGCTTTTGAAACTTAAGCTTGAGGAACTAACATTTGACATTGCTGTTGCAAAGTGCTTAGCTATTGAGCAATCTTACAAGGATGTTGAAGCTCTCCAGGGGAATAAAGCGTCAGAATCAATCGATCTATTAGCCAAATCAAAGCCAGGCAAGAAGCTTAAATTCAAGAGAGAAGCCAAGCTTTCAGAGAAAAAGGGTTCTTTTTCCCCCAAGAGAACGGGTGATCAAAGTTGCTACCGCTGTTTGGGAATTCATGATCACAAAAGTTGTCCATTCAAGAAAGAAAAATGCCACCACTGTAACAAGACTGGTCACATTGTGAGGGCTTGTAAATCAAAGAAAAAAGAGACACAAGTTTCCCAACCCCCAGTAAATTATGTAGACAGCGATGACGGGGACAGCGATGATTATTTGGCATCCCTTGAGGTTAATAATGTGGGTGACAAGGATCACGTAATATGGGTCAACCCCGAAATACAGGGAAAGGTGGTCAAGATGGAACTAGACACAGGGTCAGCGGTGTCTGTACTTCCATACAAACAATATAAGGAACATTTTAATCATGTCAAACTTTCAAAGAGCCTTGTGACACTTAAGACATACACTGGGCAGAAAATCACACCTAAGGGAGAGATGAGATGTAATGTTAAGTTCAAGGGCCAGGAAAAAGAGTTAAACCTACAAGTTGTTGAGACGCAGGGACCAGCACTGTTTGGGCGTGACTGGCTGTCCAACATTCAACTGAACTGGGGTGAAATCAAAACCTTTAAGCTTAGCAAGACTTCAGAAGGGGGTATGGCACGCAAAGTGGATCAGCTACTACAGAAGTACGAGTCTGTTTTCTCCGAAAATCTGGGCACACTTAAAGGCTACAAGGCGGATTTGAAGGTCGAGGAAGGCTGCCAGTCCAGCTTTCATAAACCACGCCAAGTGCCATACGCACTCCGCCCCAAAGTAGAAGCAGAATTTACACGCTTAGAGAAGGAAGGTATTCTCTCTAAAGTAGAATACAGTGAATGGGCGACCCCAATTGTCCCGGTAGTCAAGCGAAACGGATCGGTACGAGTTTGTGGCGATTTTAAGGTCTCAGTGAACCCAGTACTTCTTGCAGAACAGTACCCTCTGCCACGTATAGAGGATATTTTTGCAAATTTGGCTGGCGGTAGACATTTCAGTAAGCTTGACCTTCGCCAAGCTTATCACCAGATGGAAGTAACCGAAAGATCCAAGGAACTCCTTACGATTAATACACACAAGGGCCTTTTTCGATACAATCGCTTAGTCTTTGGCATCTCTTCGTCTCCAGCCATTTGGCAGCGTGCCATAGACCAGGTATTACAGGGAATACCTGGGACCCAGTGCATCCTTGATGACATGATTGTCACAGGTAAAACCGATGAAGAACATTTGGAGAACCTGGAGAGTGTACTCAAGCGATTACAAGTTGCGGGTCTGAAGGCTAACAAGGAAAAGTGCGAGTTCTTCAAAGATAGAGTTCAGTTTTGTGGGCATGAGATCGATAAGGAAGGTCTACACAAGACACAAGAGAAGATTGAAGCAGTGGTCAGTGCACCAAGACCTGAGAATGTGTCACAGCTTCGCTCATTTTTAGGGCTCGTAAACTATTACAACCGTTTCTTGCCCAATGCGTCTACAGTTCTCCACCCACTTCACCAGTTGTTAGAGCAAAACAACGAATGGCAGTGGACTGAACGGTGCGAGCGAGCGTTCACTGAGGCTAAGCGTATGATTACATCTGAGCAGGTGCTAACGCACTATGACCCAGCATTACCGGTTAGGCTGGCATGTGATGCTTCACCAACTGGCATCGGCGCGGTTCTTTCACACGTCATGTCCGATGGTAGCGAAAGGCCGGTAGCTTTTGCGTCCCGATCGTTGACCAAGACTGAACGACGGTATGCACAGATAGACAAGGAGGCATTGTCCATTGTGTGGGGGGTGAAACGATTTCATGTTTACCTCTATGGGAGACGATTTACGCTCATTACAGACCACAAGCCCCTCACTGCCATCTTCCACCCAGAAAAGGGAGTTCCAGCCATGACTGCTGCAAGGCTTCAGCGATATGCATTGTTCTTGTCTGGGTTCGACTATATCATTGAGTATAAGAGTACAACCAAACACTGCAATGCCGATGGACTGTCACGGCTCCCTCTCCAGCAGAAAGAGCGAGAAGACTTGGAGGTGGATTCAACAGAGGTGTTCCACGCCTCTCAGTTTGTGCCATTACCTATAACCAGTGAAGCAGTGGCAAGAGAAACACGTCGTGACGTTGTCCTAGCGAGGATACATGATTCTATCGTGAAAGGATGGTCTACTCGTGTGGAGGGAGACAAGCCTTATTACGAGCGACGCAATGAACTGACAGTTCACCAAGGCTGCATCCTATGGGGAATGAGAGTGGTCGTTCCCAATAAGTTACAAAGCAGAGTGTTAGAGGAACTTCATGATGGGCATCTGGGCATGGTCAAAATGAAAGCACTCGCGAGGAGCTACGTATGGTGGCCTAATATCAATGGTCATCTGGAAGAGCTAGCGAAAGGCTGCAGCGGGTGTCAGCAAAATCAGAAGATGCCTGCTAAAACACCACTACATCCGTGGGAGGGGCCACTACACCATGGCAGCGTATACACATCGACTACGCAGGGCCATTTCAGAACTCGATGTTCTTAGTGGTTGTCGACGCACACACCAAGTGGCCAGAAGTGGTTCCAGTCAAGTCAACTTCTTCAAGTTCGACTATCGAAATTCTACGCGATTTGTTCGCCAGATTCGGAATTCCAGAACAGATAGTCAGTGACAATGGTACACAGTTTGTTTCGGAGGAATTCCAGACATTTGTCAAGTCCAATGGCATCCGCCATATAACTTCAGCACCGTACCATCCAGCGACGAATGGTCTTGCGGAAAGGACAGTACAGACCTTCAAACAGGCTTTGCGTTCCATGCGTCAAAGCCCCAAGCCAGTGAGGGAGAAGTTGGCGAAGTTTCTCATAGCTTACAGGAACACCCCACACCCACCACCGGTGAGAGCCCAGCACAGTTACTCCTGGGAAGACCATTGCGTACTCTCCTAGATTTGGTGAAACCTAACTTAAACCGTAAGATGGTTAACCAACAACACCAGCAGAGCATTAAGGCAGCGATTGACAAGGGTAAACAGTATCGCCAGTTAGAGATTGGTGACTCAGTTATGTCACGGGATTATCGAGGGGATCTGAAGTGGCGTCCAGGGCTGATTGTTAACAAAACAGGTCCGCTGATGTATGAGGTACAGGTGGCACCGGGACTGACCTGGCGCCGACATATTGATCAGTTGAGACCAACGGCAGTTGGACACACAGTTGAAAGCACTGACGCCGACTGTAGTGTTGAAGTCAGCCAACCTGAAATGGCCAACACACCACTGACCCCAATTACATCAAGTACTCCAACCACTGAGGGCGGCACAGCTCCAGGAGGTTCCAAAAAAGATCAACCAAAGATGGTTCCTGTTTCCACACCTACGGTACCTGACCCTCCTGATGCTAAACCAGCTACAGTTAGTCCGATGGTCAAAATGCGACAACACCCTCAGAGAGTTCGCAGGGCACCACAGAGGCTTGATCTCTGAACTTTGTTTTATTCTGTTCGTTTTCTTGTTTAAAGGTCGTTCTTACCTTTCGAACTGTGGTTACCGGACACTGTTGGTTTATTTTATGTTTTCCTTGAAATTGTATTTTAGGGCTTGTTTTGAAAGCTAGGGACAGATCGTTTTATGTGTGGAGGAATGTTATGGTTTTCCAGTGTGTTGTATGTTGCGTGTTACCATATATGGTTTGCTCATGCGCACGCATGAGGCTTCATTAAACAGTCTTTTACTTGCCGAACCGCCATGTTGTTTGGGGTGTGTAGTTCTTAAGTAATACATGACAGATATGTATAGCTTTCACATGTTCACTTGATCTTTATAATATATCAAATCTTATCGTAAATCAAACATGCTCGATCATGAATAAATCATTCTTTAAAGTTAAAAAAACATGTCGTTCCGCCTGGTTGTTATGGTTGTCACACAATAACTCGTTCGCGCCTAAAGCTTTTTTGGTCATTGGCGATATTCACCTTGCTTTACTCGCCTTGAAATCCCTATAAACTTTGTTGGAAATAAAAAGTTGGTTTTTTTGCGAAAGATCTTGTTTAGAAAGTCGTCTTTTTTAAAAAAAAAATGACCGAGTGACAAGATAAGTCTTTACAGTGTCGTTGTCACACAATAACTCGTTCGCGTCTAAAGTTTTTTTGATTAATGGCGATGTTTACCTTGCTTTCTTCGCCTTGAGATCCTCATAAACTTTGTCGGAAATAAAAAGAATTGTTTTTTTTAATAAAGGTCTTGTCTATAAAGTCAAGTTTTCTTAAAATAATCTGATCGACTGTCATGAGTCTTTACAGTGTTGTCACACAATAACTCGTTCGCGTCTGAAGCTTTCATATTTATTGGCGATGTTTACCTTGCTTTATTCTCCATGAGATCCTTATAAACTTTGTTGGAAGAAAAAAAAATTGTTTTTTCACTAAATATCTTTTACTTTTCTATATGTCTATCTTCTAATAAGTTGTACTGGATTGAAGACCAACTCGCCGACGTCTCTACTCGACTTTATACGTCGGCGAGTTGGCGTTGGCGAGTTGAACCGTCGGCGACTTAACTGGATACCATCAAAATTGTTTGTCTACAGTTAGTTGCTTCAAAAATATAATTCCACATACGAATTCTACTGCGAAAAGCAAACTGAAACTCTGTTGTATCTCCAATAAAACCTAAGCAAAGATATGTTACACTCTCAAATAAGTGAAGATACAACGACCAAGAGTACAAGATAATATTTCAAAGAGGGCTCCTTGATTGGTTGTTGCCTATCTGGACTTTGCCCTCTGTGTGTGAAATACATAATAAAATGCAGGATGTTTACAAGAAATTGACATGCCACACAAGAGAATTGCTTTGAAAGTTCACTATCAGTCGCATTTAATTCCATGTGAATTTTTTTCAGTAGGGTTGGACAATGCGGTAAGAATATATGATAAAATGGAGAAATAATTTTACTTCAAATCCACTTGAACCATTAATATCACATTAACCTTCAAACACATTGGATGACAATCTGTTTTCAGGTCCTCATTATTAGAGGGTTTCTACACCAGTGTTCCTTCAGAGCAAATTGCACAGTCAGCAATCTTCCAATTGAATAGTGGCTATGCAGTACACAAATTTTACTATTGTTAACAACAATGGCCATTAGCACCAACTTATAGCCTTGGATTACCAGTTTTCCTAAATGTAAACTTGTAACATTCCATAAGACTACTGCCCTATAGCATTTAAAAACAACTGCTACCTTGTAAATTGAATATTTAACACAAAACATGTGAGCTTTGTCATTATTTCAAATTTGATTAAAACTTCTGCATTTCTGATGCAAGGTGATAAAACTTACCAAATGCTAGTTTGCACATCTTTGTAACAAGGAAATCACAACGCTCCTCCCAGCTGAACTGCTGCAAATAGTTTCCACGGAGAATCTTAGCCTCTGCAAGTCGTACATTCCTTTTTTTGTCACGCACACCTTTTATTGCTCTGGCCCAATCTGCAGGATCCTCTGAATCCACTATACAATGGGACCCAATAGGCACCTCCCTTAAGGCCTCTGCAATTCCTGAGTTTCCACTGACAAGTACTGGAAGACCAGCAGATATGGCTTTAAGAGCACTCAACCCGAATCCCTCGGTTTTTGAGGGCAATAGAACAATATCCACCATAGAGAATAAGTTAGCTAATGTTTTCCTGTTTTCATCGAAGCTGGAGATAATTAGCTGATTATGATCAATACCACACTGAAGTAACTTGTGTTTTAATTCATCTTCTTTTCCACTCTGTTTGGAAGCAAACTTGAGTTGGTAAGATTTATCTTTCAGGTTAGCAATAGCTTTCGCTGCAATTTTGTATCCTTTAACATCAAAATCTTCACTATCACCACTCTCAATAACCAAGGCACAAAATGTTCTTCTTTCATCACTAGCTTGCTGCACATCTGAAAATTCAGAGAGAATGCTTGGCGTCAGGTTAAAAACATCTTTTTTTCCGAGTTGGTTCTTATATGCTTCGGTTAGCTTGAGGCCAATTGTTACAACTTGATCAGCCATTTCACATAGTTCTATCTCTGTTTGCTGCATTTGTTGACCTTCAGAAATGTTTTTGTACATGCCAATTTCTTCAGGGGCAGTATGGACAACTTGAATCCATTTGCAATGACTGTAATTTGGATTTTTCTTTATGAGTGGAATTTGCTGACCAAGAGCTACTCCATGTCCTACTACACAATCCATAGCATGGCCATCAGGTACAGAGGCTAGCCAAAGAACTGGTTTTAAACCAGGCAGTTTAACTGCTTCAATGAGTTTAACATTGTAACTATCAGCATCTTTCTTGTCCTCCTCACTACACCGAGGTAAGAAAACACTGACTTCCACATTGGGATGTTTAGCCATCTGTATTGCTAGCTCTCTGTTGATGGTTGTTAAGTCTCCATTGCTTGATGCTTTCCATTCAGCACTCAAAAGGGTTACTCTCAGTTTCCTTTCCCTGATGTCATTCTGTAAACGAAAGATTTTTGTGATTTAGGAAATTCAATTAGAGTTATAGAAATGATAAAAAACCCCTCACTTTATGAATTATTTTACTTTTGAAAGACACTTCTTAATTTTCAATTCATTTGGTAACTTCACAAACTCAATAAACATATAAGTAAACATTGTACAAAATTTCCACAAAACAGTAAAGAACAATAATTGTTGTGGATATCAGGGTTAGTGTGATACAACTGTGTAGTCTCATTAACCCCAGGAAGTGACCTGCATCTGTAACTTTTTGATATCACACAAAAAATGTTATACACAAGTTTTTTTCTTCAAATATTCAGAGTCTGGTTTTGCATGACATGGCAAACTTTAAATCATCCAACTCTAACCAGTTAACTTGAATGATCATTTGTTATCATTTATTGTCTTAAAAATGAGAAACATGAGACATAGAAAGAAATTTTCATCAGCTTCAGTCATTCAAAAATAAAAACTTACCACAATCATCTATCTGGACTCTTAATCTTAAACTGATGTGAGCTTATTTTACTCTCCTTTAAATTTTTTTCCATATTGATCTCCTTCTGAATAAATACCAGCAATATATTATCTCAAAGTTTTGTATCTGCAGACATGTAATTTGCTCCTGAAGTGAGAGAGTTGGCAGGGATGCACTGATAATAGTGAAGTTTCCTTAAAATGAAATGACACCAGAGTGAACAAAACAACTTGTTCGCAGTTGTGATTTTAAAAAGCAGTTGTTTGATATCCTACCCTTAATTGTTCCGACATCATAGGAACTTTAACTGTTGAATAGGAAGTTGCTAAAATAAAAATTAAAAAAAATTAATAACTTTCATAAATTACTCTGAAAAAATGTCTTAAATTACTAATATTAGACTACCGTATTAAAAGACAACTGGAAATTACTGTTGGTGGCATATCACAGAGGAATCATATTGTTTTTTTGATGAGTGAAATTTAATTGACGAAATTTATCCATAATAAAATTTCTTCCTCCCGAATCGCAAAGAGAAATGAAGTTTGTTTAAGGTACCAATGCAGAGGAGAGGTACATGTACTTCAGTGCTGAAAAGAGGTTATTTCAAAAGCGCTAAAAATTTGACTAAGCGTTTCGCGATTACGTGCAGGGTTTGAATGAATTATTCTACATGCGATTCCAGTAAATAATTATCAAAAGTTGTCACATACTTTTGTCATGTATACTTGTTATAAATATGTAATCGCAAGATGTTTGTATATCGCAGAGTGGCAAAACAAGGTATCGTGGTCGTTTTAGATCGGGAGCTTTTGGTCTGGTTTACCAGAAACCCTGAGTGATCCGACTTTGGTTGGTATGTTATTTGAGTGAAGGTTCTGTATCTGTTCCCTTCAGTGACAGTCTGGAGCTACAGTTCGCTGATAATCTGAAATCAATTCAAATTGAAACTATGACTTACGGAAAAATAAACTGGCGAAACACCACGTTCAACATTAGTAGTATTTCACGTCGATTTCCGCCTTCATCTAACACTCTCGGTTTAACGAATTATTTTAATTGGTTCATTCACTATCACGTGACAGAATTGAGCGGGGGGGGAGGGGGAACCCTCCTTTCACGTTATGGCTATTATACACCGCACTGCTGTTTTTGTAGCCCGTAGGTATGTTGCCGCTGGATAAATGCACACTCGCTTACTTGGGAGGTTGGGAGAACACTCGATAAGCTGGAAACCATTCCGCTTCGCGTCGTGGTTTCCTACGCTTATCTCGTGTTCTCCCAACCTCCCGCGTGTTTACATCAGGCTATGTAAACACGGAAACCATTTTACATTTCTTCAATCTAATTTGATTTTAGAAGCTATTTTCATGTCTGGACGAGACCAGATTCATTTTAGCAATGCGCCAAGGATTTTTGCCGCTGAATCAATTCTTTTCTTAACTTCGAGATTTGATGAATTGACGATCGTGACATGCTCAAGTATGTCAGGAAAACAGAAGACCTTGGTAGTAGACTAGTAAACCAGTCAGACTAGTTGTGTAAGATTGTTAACGTCTATATATTTAGTTAGTCTATTGTTTCCTGTATGGGGTGTGTAGAATGCACCTATACGCGTAGAATTTATTCAAAATACTCTTGCGGCTTCGGCAGTTTAAATTTTGTCGTTTTCGCAGGACCATTATTCAGTTTGTTTTAGTTAACATGGAAACACAGCTGCAGTATACAATACAGTTTATGTAACCATTTCCAGGGCCGTGAAGAAAGTAAATGTCATTTTTCTGGCGGTTGTTTATTTAGGTTTTGTGTCGCTTTCCGCTCAAGTTTTTTCTCTACCGTAAAGTTTGGTTATGTGTATATTTCTCTCAGTTTTAACCGCATGCTACGCTAAGGTATCGCTTTCCCGCAAAGTATCTTCGCACGGCTTGTCAAGTCAATAGAGATAAATAAATGCGTGTTCAAATGTCATTCTTGGTGTCAGCATCGAATCCACTGAGTTGGCAGTTATAAGTTAGACTAGTTAGACTAGTCAGATTAGTTAAACTAGTTAGACCCGCGTGTTTTACAAAAGTCCTGATTTTGAGGTATCAGTTCTTAATCTGACAGAGTTACAGCAGATCGCTCGGTGATCTACAATTTTCTTAATGTTTTCAGTATCAGTAGCAACCAGGACAGAATTACTGGTAAACAAGAGCTCTCTGACATGTAAGTCTCTTGTCCTTGGTGGAGCTTTTTGAGTCTCTGATCTGCTGAACAGTTATCAATGTAAACGAGCTTTTAGGACTGGTCGTTATTCATTACCTTTAGGGGGGTCAGAGAAATTTGATTGTGTCACAATAAAATTTACCCAATCCCCCCTAATGCTCTGTAATATTCTGATGTAACCCCCCAAAAAAAAAAAAAAAAACACACACACACACACACACACAAAACACTTCCTTAATGGTCAATTCTCTATATTCCCCACTTTATACTTTGTTAGCAACGACTGATCTCCCCCCACTCCCACTGAAAACCATGTTATCTCCCAAAATCCTCTACCCTTACCCCACCTCCAGGCGAATGACTGGTCCCTTAATAACTTACACGCCTTAAATAAGAATTTGACAAGTGGTATCTAAAATGGATTGAGCTTTATATCCATGTGGAAGTCAAGAATTAGCAGGTAAAATTGACCTGGAAAATTATGCTCAAATGCTGGACTTTGATTTCTCCTCTTTCTCTCTCATTCATTTGGAGTTGAAGGGAAATGTGTTCATTCGCTCTCGCAGTCTCCTTACCAAACCTAGTTTAAGATCGTGGTGGTTCAAATCTGTAGCTGTTTTTGGACAAGAGCTTTTCAACACACTTCATCCTTTTTGGCGGCACATATCCCCGTAACATACATAGGGGAGTACCCCCTGCCAGCCAATAGCTTGATTCTCAATTGGTCCGAATCAAATTGTTGGTCCGAATCAAAACTTGTTATAAACTCAACGTATAAAAGTACAAAATCTCCTGCCTTAAAAACTTTTGTTTCCATATTTAAAAATTGTAAAATATATATATGTTAACTATACAACAACTTCTCATGTTGTTAATTAGAAAACATCTACATTACATTCTTACCTATTCTATTGCACTGAATAAAGGGATTATACTATTACAAAAACTGCATTAACTGTAAAATCGCTTCGTATCAAAAGTAATTTGAAGAGTATTACTTAATTCTGTTCTTGATAAAATCATCAGCTAAGCTGAAAAAAAATTACAAGTTAGCGTACAAACTTTTCCTAAATGATTTCCTATGTTAAGTCTGATTAAACAATTGAAAGAGAATACAATAGTTCTTCCAACACCTAAATCTGCCCCAGAGATCTTAGTAAACAACAAAGAGGGGCGCTTTCAATTAAGCTGTTACATAGTATCTTTAAGTCGACGAACGAAAACTATCATCTGCCATTAAAATTAATCATATTCTTATACTCTTTGTACTTCACTAGTTCACGGAAAATGTTCGAAATTTTGTCTTTAAGAAGACAACATATTCACTAACTACTTTGTAAAAAATATAACTCGATATTCTTTGCACTCTATGGACCTCTCTTACACAGAATTGCATCTACGCTGCCAGAAAAAGACTCATCTAGCTACTGTATTTTAATCCACTTTCTAAAACGAACTTAACATGAACAAAAGATCAATGAAAGTTCAATAATAGTTTGTCTAACGATGCCATCAATTGTTGATGGCGACGTTTTGTCAGCCACACCGAGATTCGTTTAGAATACACAGTTTGATCGACAACTCATGGAGAGTAAATAACGTGAGATAACCTTCCAAACTATTATTTATCCAATCATAAAAATGAAATTTTAATTGACATGCAATAAGTAACGAGAGGAGACTATCCGAGCTTTATGCCTCTGACTTAATGGAACGGCAAAGTATCAAGCCCTCTCTGACTTTAGTGCAAGTTATCGCTTCAAACAAACGCTGTTTGCCCACGTTGTTATATTCCGATTTCCTCGCAGGTTTAAGCTCCGTAGTTTGCAGTTGGTATCAGTTAAGGCTTTACACAAGTACTTTATTCCTTTATCTCCTAATTCATTGTCACTGATGTCTAGACTGGCTAATTTACAGTTAACTCTGGCTAGCGCGTTACCCAAGTGCATGATTCCTTTGTCTCTTAACTTATTGAAACTGACGTTTAAGCTGGTTAATGTACAATTAACGCTGGTTAGCGCTTTACACAAGAGCATCATTCCTTCGTCTCTTGACCAGTTGTCACTGACATTTAAGCTGGTTAATGTGCAGTTAACGCTGGTTAGTGCTTTACACAAGTGCATTATTCCTTCGTCTCTTAACAGATTGCGTCTGACGTTTAAGCTGACTAATTTACAGTTAACGCTCGTTAGCGCGTTACACGAGTGCACTATTCCTTCGTCTCTTGACCAATTGTCACTGACGTTTAAGCTGGTTAATTTACAGTAAACGCTGGTTTGCGCGTTACACAAGAGCAATA